AAATCGGAACAAACTAGGCTATCTTATATATATATTAAATCTGTTATAACTTCTAAAATGCTAGTCCTATTAACTTGATCTTGGTCTCGTAAGATTCAACGCAAAACACTGCTTAGAAAACAAAAAATTACTAGTTTAGTAAGCAATGTTTTAGTTTCTTCTCTTTGTCTTTCACAATGGTGGTTGGATCTTACGTCTAGGGGAGAAACAGACTTTGGATACCCATAATGGGCCTAACTTATTTTTAAAACAATTTTAAGCTATTCCTTAATTATTTCTGCACTCAAATACATTCAAGAACAGGCCAAATAGACCTTAGTTTCAAAAACCTAAAAAGTGATGCAACCATCATTTCCAGTTGTATTAAAGTAAATTAAGATGCTTCCATAAATTAAAATATTTTCAAAATAAAATCTCCAGTAAGATATGAAAACAGTTAAATATTTTCTTTTTAGCCGAATGAATAGTTAAGAAATCACCTCATTTAAACATAAAACTATCATCGTTTCTTTTTAACCAAAAATTTATGATTAAAAAGCGAAAAGTATCATACCTAACCAAAAACAGCAACAACAAGAAAAGAAAAAACAAATATGAAATCAAAATCTTTAGCTAAACCAGAAGAGATAGTCATGCATTCCTTCTAATTGTCAAATTACTTTTAAATCGTTTATTTCCTTTTAATTTCACTAACAGTATAGTACGGTATCCGATAAAAGCAATTTAGTTACTTCTATCAACCCTATTCAACTGATTGTCAATCGAATTCTTCTTTCTTAAAATTAAAAAAAACGGGTATGATAACAAGATACTATTAAAATTTCCAACAGATAAGACTATCCTACAGCAGTTACGATATCATTCAACTGAATAAAAAATATTATAACTGTTGAAATTTCATACAGCTATAGACCCAGTAATAGTGTGAAAACTTCAGACAGTTGTCAAAATATAACACAATTTGAGAAATTTTTCAGAAATATATCATAAGAAAATGCTATAATGTTACTGTTCAGATAATATTAGATATAATACGTACCAGGAAAATTATGTATACTGCGAAGATAAACAGGAAAAATGAATCTGTACATTCTCTATTTCTCACTGGACCTTCAAAACCATCAGATGAGTCTGGAAAGGACCTTGCATTTTGCTACAGTAACAAGAAAATAACTTAGACAATAAAAAAAAAATTTAATTTCAAAAAAAAAAAAAAAAGTTTATTTATTTAGCTTATTTGAAAAAAAATCATTCTTTAAAATTGACAAAAAATATTAATCCAAGCATTAAATTAGTATTTAATGTAAACATACGTAAAACTTATTCAGGGAGCTATCTACATTTTTGTATCAACAGCAGAGATTTTTGGTGTCCCATACAATAGGATATTATTGAAAAATTAACTTGGGCCACTTTATTTTATATAACTGGCGCTGAACAGCCGACCCAATTCTGAGCTTACTTCTATCGATATTCAACTCCGTAGACTTGTAATTTTGAACCTTATTCAGAAAACAAGGGAACTCCTGGATCGAGCATTGGGAGAAATTAGCCTTCCTATTCTGATGGATCTAATCCGCATTTGCGTTACATGGAGAAGAAAAAACTCAAAAATCTCCAACAGTTAGCTTGACGGAGAGGGGATTCTAACCCACGATCGGGCGACCACAGAGGATATTTTGTGTTAGAACTGTGATCGATGCCAGCCTGGAGCAGAATTCGCATTTATAAGCCAAATCTCGGATTTGAACCTGGGTCACCTCATTGAGAGGAGATCGCTAAAAAAATGTTTAAAACTTAAAACAATTCAATATCATCTCTATATATTTTTATCTCTTTATACATTTATGGCCAAAAACAAAGGCACGAAAACTCTAAATTCTTCTTAAATTGCAATGAATCTGTTTAAGCAATAAGGAAAAAATTTACCTCTACATTGAAACTTGAGTTCTAACTTACTTTTACCGACCCAACCCTTGATGAACTACTGCAACAACAACCCATTCTTCACTCATTTCATACTTGTTAGCCAGCATCACATCATGATTATTATTTCGAAATTCTTGATGTCCTATTTCACGTGACAATTCTAAAAAAGGAAAAGCATAATATCCTTGATGATTTAACTCTTAAATCAAACTCATTTCAAAGTATATTTATTAATCCTATTAAACAAATTGAATTTTCCTAATCAATAAGAAGAAAACTCAACACGGAAATGATTCATTAAGAAATTTGGGTTTAGATCCAATATAAATGCTTAAAGATTGTCCCGTCCTCCGAGACAAGCAATTAATTTTACGGTATATTTATTATAATTAATTATATTAAAATTGAAGTACATATACTTAAATAATTGACATTTAAAGATCACTCATACACGCTTTTTAAACACTTGGGCAATTGAGAAAGCATAATAACAACAGTTGGCGATGAAAATGCAATAAGCAATTTTAACACCACACTGGAGGCTGTGAATTAAGCAAATTATAAGGTTATGTTGCTACTCGTAACTACTATAAAAAATTTGTCAAGAAATCGGGACAAACTAGCCTCTCTGGGTAAGTCTAAAAAACCATGATTTGAGAAAGTGTTGAATGAGAAAAACATGCTGAGGGCTGGAAACCACTACGTTTTTTGCAAAATATTTTTTAAGGTGGTAGAAAATTGAAAACTGAAGTTTTGAGAATTTTTGGTAGTTTAAAAATCTTACCACGAGAGAGCTGAGGAAAAATGACGTTTCATCTGAACTTTTTGAATCATTTACGTGTAGTAGTGAGGAAAATAATTTTAAATGAAATTTCCAAAATAAGGAGTTGCATGCATTAAAATTTAAACATTAGCTACCACTCAAAGAAATTTTCCCTAAAAGCGTAGAAAGACCTGGATGATGACTCTCACGTCACTTTTAATATTATATGTAAAAATGTTATGTTAAAATCGGAGCAGTTAGTAGATGTTGAGTTAACAATGGTTGGCGAACTGTGGTTTGCGAGCTTCAAGTGAAGTTTTTACGATTCGAGAGCTGTATGTATTTCTCGTTGACGCTGCGTGTACGCAACACTTTGTATTGATGTAATAAGTTACCACTTTGAAAACAAGAAATTAAGGAGATAACGTTGAAACTAAATTGAAAATTCACTGGAAACTGGTTGATTTAATGGATTGATAAAGTAACTGCCACCCTAGTTTCAAATAAATAATTTCAGATCAAAATATTTTTTTAATGTTACTTATATATTTTTAAGAACACGAATGTTATTGTCTCACAGAAATAAATTTAAAAATGAAATAACTGACTCACAATTTCCTAATTTTTTTTCTTTTTTTGAGAATAGTGGGAGAATGTGAGAGTTTTAATAGCAAATTTTCAATTCCATCTCAGATAACTTAATTTAGGAGAAAAAATAAAGATCGTTTGATTTTCAAATGTTAAATAAAAATTAATAAATGGTATAAACTATACAGTTTTGAAATAAAAATTTGTAAAAAATTTTAATTCCTCAAAGCAGAAAATACTTTTTCTCGAAAAAATATATTTTGCTTTGCCTTGAATTTAAGGCAAATATTTGACACGTAATTAAAAATCTGAAAAAAACTTATCTCACCTGATTACAAAAGTTCGCAAGAACTGCCATACGTAGTGAATTAAATAAGTAAAAGTAAGACTTATTTCATTGGAGAACAAAATGGCATGAAAACCGTACACTGGGCTTTTTAAGGCAATAATAATCAAATACTCAGAAAAAGAAGAAAAGAAAAAAAACGAAAAATGAAAGGGAGGGGGAAAAAATCCAATATTGAAGATAAAAGTTTACCATCGCTTATCTGTTTAGTACTTTTGAAGTTATCCGGAAATAGAAAAAATGATTTCAAAATATAAATCATATTCCTGACTACAGAATTCGTGACGATTTCGTAACGAAAACGAACATTTATTACTTTATTTTTCGTCTTGGAGTCGGATAACACGCAATGACATCATTTATTTTTTGTTTATTGATTTAATGAATTTTTAATTCCACCCTTTTCTAAGCGATATATTTCATATGACAGGCCGCTGCTTTTTTTTATTTTATCAATCCCATAAACTCATTACTGAATTGTATCTAGCTCCTTATTATGATTTTTAATTTTTGTTAATAATTTTTAATTAATGTAATTTTTAAAAACTATTTTCCTAGTGTAATTTTTATTATGACGGATTTTAAAAAGAAAAGATATCATAATTTTATTATGATATCTTTTCTTTTTAAAAGAAAGAGAAAGAAAAAAAGTAATAAAACGAGATTTTTCTTGTTAGAATGTATATTGCTAAAACAAGATAATTTTGCCTGCAATAATATATTAACAATATGAAATATACATATTTAGATCTGTTGCGAAAGCTCAATACTTTTTCCATGGCTAAAGCGACAGGCAACGTGAAGAAACATTCACTTAGTATTGATAAATATCAACTAACACTACTTTTTTCACTGTTTATCCTTTCGTTGAAGGGAAGAAGTGAGTTCAATTTCCAACTTTCAAGATTATTATTTTTCATAAAAAATAAAAACATACACCGCAAATTTCAATTATTACTTTTTATCTCAGAGAAATAAAATATACCATTCTCCGTCGATTTATTTGTAATATTGAGGTTTCAGTAGTAGTTAACGCAATAAAATACTTAATTAATTTAAACAGTATCCTTTTGACGCAGAATTTTTATGAAATATATTTTTCATACTTTTTTTTCATTATTTTGTATTAATTTAGGTCAAAATAAGGGGAAAATATTCGATTTAGCATTTTAATAATTTATGGTTACGAAATATAGCATGAAACAATGGCATCTTTATCTGCGTTATGGGTAAAATCTTCCAATCACGGCTCACTTCCAGACAATCATTTTTCAAACTTACACTTATTTACTCTCTATCTAAGAAGAAGAACAATTATTCAACACTGAAATTTCTTTCATTTACAAAATCAATGAGTGATGAGTTTTTGAATAGGAGTGTAAAAAAAAAAATTCTTTTCAAACTACTTTTTTTTTGGATTTTATATTGTAGTACAAATATAATTCCGATAATCTAATAGATTTTTTTAGTAACTATTAGAGTCTGTCTTTAACAGTTAAGTACCAAAATATTGTAATTAGAGTGTCAGAAAAAATTATAGAAGAAGGATACCGGTATCCCATCTGCGCCAGAGGGTTAATGTACCGCTATATACAAAATAGAACTTTTTATAGTATTGAAATATGAAGAATTGTCCATTTATTGGTTGAATTATGTATCGCTGTTGAGTTACAGAGTTGGAGATTCTTTGATCGTATTAAGCACATGTTTTCTTATTCCGGATAATTGTCTGAAAACCTATAGTGTCAGGGGAAGGGTGAACATAAGTGTGACATTAGGTCACAGCCTAATTTATAAATACTAATTCTTTTAATTTTGTAATACATTCTTTTATTTTCATCATCTTTCTTTAGCCCCTTAAGCGATAGCGCAATTTGGACATTCTCCCCCTAAAATTCCTTACCAGCTCCTTAAAAGAGCCCCTTTATTTCGAGAAGTTTCCACCCTTTTTTTTCTGAGAATTCCACTGGTCGTCGGCATTCTTTCATCTCCGCGTGTTTGTTGTGTTTCTCAACCGTAACTTTTAACGCATAATCATTTTTTNATTATATATATGTTTACTTAACGCTTTCATACCTTACGGGACATATATGTCCCATCAGACATTTTAAGTAGATTTGCACATTTTAACGTTAGATGTTCACACTACAGTCTTTTGAACTCCTCGCCTTCTACAAGGATGCTTGGCAGAACTTGTAAAACAGTCATGGCAGCATTAAAAAATTCCAGATCAAATTACGGTTAAAAGTAGGAGTGCCGGGTTTTTTTTAATCGTAAAATCCATTTTTACTGAAACATGTTTCGGAATAATAAATATAACATACCATAATTTTTACACTAATAATTACAGTAACAATACTAAATCCCTCTAATCAAATAAATATTATAGTAAAAATGACAGTATGATATTTTACGATAAAAATAGATTTTGCAGATGATGCACTCGAAAGTGCCGGTATTTAATTGCGGAATTTTATCCGGAATTTTTTACAGTGTAGTTTCGAAGTGAGAGGAGATATATGCGAAAGAAAAATAACCAAGCATTTCGGGTGAAAAATAACTGAAATAGAGCTAAAAAGAAGTGAATGCCATTATATAAATATTATTTGTATCTATTTACGTTGTTTTGAATCATAATTTGATTGATTTCGAAAGTTTATCCTTTTATTATCATATGCTTCTGGTGGTTCAACATATGCCCATTCAGAAAGACTAATGGGGCTTCAATGTCCCAGGGCCTAACTGCAAGGAGGGAGTCCACATTTTTAGTAACTTATTTGTAACATTATCTATGGTAGAAAAAATTAGCAAGCAGTTAGATGTCGAAAGAAAAACCTTCTCAATAAATAAATTAGAAATCAGTCTTGAAAGGGTTAAATGGTGTCTTATTACCATCCATTATTAGAAAGAACTAAAACTTCCAAGTTGGCAGTAGGCCTCAAAGCCTACATACATCAAGATAGAAAAGAAAACAAGCTGGTACAAAAACATTTCATTCTAACATTTTTTCGAGAAAATTGAAAATTTCTTTAGCTACCAAGATTTTTTTTTTACAATTTTAGTATAGATAAAAACCGCTTTTACCAGAAGAACCTGAATATGAATCTTAAAAAGTTGCCTTATACCTCAATGATTAGACCAATTATGATTTAAGCATTACCTGCCTGGTGCAACGCAACAAATAACGATTTGAATACCTTGACTGCCCTGCAAAATAAAATCCTTCTTAAGTTAACTGGAACCAGGTGGTTCATCAGAAACAATACCAGCCATAGAGACTTAAACATTTATAGATTTGACTGCTATTTTCATAAGCTCAATACGAATTTTTTCGACAAGGCGATCGATTGTGACGCTGCTGACTTCAATACTATTTTCGACTGCATTAACCTGATAGATGGTGCTAATATTAGACCCATAGCCCACTTTTGTACTTTTAAGACCTTTAAAAGCCATATTTTGC